ACGAGTGCTAGGTCATGTGCTAGAGCAGTGCAAGCCTATCTGAACCGTGGAATTCGTTGAGGCACTCGAGTGCAAACCTGATGCCACCAACAAGGCTGGTATTGGTGGCGTGTTATACGACAGCTTCCGACCACCTTATTTTTCGAGGTGGAGCTTTGTGCTGCAGTGGTCGCCTTTGAACTCTGCAGTCATTGGCTGCATCACAGTTTCTCAGTCTTTTACCTCAACAACGAGGGCGCTCAGTCCGCCCTTATCTGGGAAATCTGGCACTTGAAACGGGCGTGCATTGATACAGAGATTCCTTGATGCGGGTGAAGATTGTCCGACAATGTTTGTGCACTTTGCTTGGGGTGACGAACGGGTGCGCTGGCTGATGCTTGTCTGCCCAGGGGCCTTGTGACCCTTGTGCCATGCCTTGGAGGCATGACCTTGTGGCCGAGGGTGCATCGACATAGATCTTTCTTTCAACCCCACGGCATCATGAGAGTGGACCGGAGCGTGAGCATGTTATGAAGCTTCTTGCCACATTGCCTGATTCATTTTCTGTGAAGAATTTTAGATTTGATTGGATGCAAATACATCTCGAATTTGTTTGCACGCTTGTGGAATTGGAAATAAGATATTCGGCATTTCATTCCTTCAGCTTTTTTCAAAACGTAAAGGGTCTGTCCGTCGTAACGTTTTGCTTCGCTCTGGTGTCGGACTTGTCGTGTAACACATGTAATGTGTGCAGGGACAAGTCCGGCGATTGACCAGCATGCGCGGTCCAGATGCAGCTCCTTTTTGTCCAAGGTATCATCACTCGCGACATGGGTAGCCAATGTGGGATTCAGACGAGCATATACGGCAGCATATTCATGTGCAAGACCATAACCGTAACCTGCCTTACTTTATTCTTGCCTTCTTCAAGTACATGCAAGCCGAAGAACGACTCGCACGACGTTCAAACCAATGCTCTCAAGCCAATGCTGAAAGTCGAGTCACTATCCACAGCCATGGCTCGTGGAGAACCCTCAGCTTTTATCAGTCTGATCCCGAACATCTTGCATGGCAGGCTAGGCAGGCTATCGGGCACAGTGGGGGTCGATAAGTGCTTGGTGCACCAGGCCGATGCACAGATAGACCAACCAGACGAAGCGAAACGAAGCCAGTGGGCGCTGCAGGAACAATGCACTTAGTTGCATCAGCAGCCCAGCCTACTGCCATTGCATAACATATGCTGTGTCAAGACAAGGAATACACAAGCTTCCGAACTCATTCAGCTTTGCCTGCTTGAAAATTCGCCGGGCGATGAAAGTAGTGGCACCTTCGGCGCGCTCCTGAAGTGCTGCAGTCGCATCGACCCGGCGCGCCTTGCTTGTTGCATGCTCGAGACCCCAGGCTGCGCGTGTGCCCCGCAACATCTGCAAGCAAGTGCCGCGTCACCACATCAACGTGGCAAGTGACTCATATCTGGGATGTGTGGACGTGTTGGGGGAATTGGCCTAAGCTTGTTGCAGGAGTGCATGCTGAGTCTGACAGTGGCTTTGTCGGCAGCTGCAAATCCCTCGCTAGCAGCGTGCAATGACGAGAGGAGTGGCGCCTGTGGCGCCCTCAGTCGTGTTGACGCGGCGCGCCTGCCTTGCTGCATGCTCGAGGCTCCAGCCTGCGGGTGGCTTGCAACATCTGCAAGTAAGTGTCAAGGCACCACATCAATGTGGCACGTGACTCATATCTGGGATGTGTGGACGTGTTGGGGGTATGGCCCCAAGTTTGTTGGAGATGTGCCTGTTGCCAGCCCAGCCTGGCAGTCTGACATTTGCCTTCTTCTCGGCAGCTGCAAATCCCCGTGCTACCGGCATGCCGCGATGCTCTCTAAGTGTTTTTGCTGCTTTCGGCCTCCACATGTCTCCACCCATGCAGCCCCTGCAACGGCTCTCCACGCATGTGCAGCCAGACGGGCTGCTAATCTCAATCATAGAGCCCGTAGTGGTAGGAGGTCAGTTAGCTTCTGCAGCTGTCCACGACTCTCCCGAAATCTCTCGCTTTCATAGTGATGCCCAGAGCCAACTATCGTCAACACACGCTGGCACATGAGGCAGAAGGCACGTCAAGCTTCCATACTGTCCATACTTCTAGAGCCTTCGACGGGCACCTGGGCAAGGTGATCGACCGCG